ATCTCCGAACACAGTCACATACTGAAGTATTTTAGCATTTGGACTTCAACATACACACTTTGGGAGACACAATTCATCCCATGGCATCACTCAAAACTGGTTAACGGGCTCCCTGCTCAGCGGGGAGTCTGCTTCTCCCTCTGACCCTCTTCCCTCTCGTGCTCTCTATCTCTCATTCTCTCTCTCTCTCAAATAAATAAAATCTTAAAAAAAAAAAATGAGACGGGCGCCTAGGTGGCATAGTTGGTTGGGCATCTGACTCTTGATTTTGGCTTAGGTCATGATCTTGGGGTCATGGGATCCACCCTGCGTGGGGCTCTGTGTTCTGTGTGGAGTCTGCTTGAGATTCTCTCCCTCTCCCTCTGCCCCTCCCCTCACGCATGTGCATGTACATAATAAATAATATTATGAAAGAAGGGACTTGAAATAAATAAATCTTAAAAAATGAGATATAAAATACTGAATTAGTGAAAAGGGCCAAAATTGTTATTAAAAACAATCTCACAGGGGTGCCTGGCTGGATCAGCCTGTAGAGCATGTGACTCCTAATCTTGGGGTTGTTGGGTTAGAGATTACTTAAAAATAAAATCTTAAAAAAAAAAAACTCACAATCCCAGCACACTAATATATTTTTCAAATACAATTTTTTACTTTTTGCATATATACTTTAGGAGCTAAAATACATTAACAGTTTACTTTACTCCTGTGTACCTAAGAGTCTATCAAATGCATTTCCCATTATTTCTAGTCTTATTCTAACCATTAAAAAAATTATTGTGGTTAAATTTAACTGACATAAAATTTACCATTTTAACTATTTTTAAGTATACATTTCTGTGGCATTAAGAACATTCACATTGTTGTGAATTCATCACCATCCATCTCCAGGACATTTTCATCTTCTCCAAATGAACCCTATACTCATTAAACACTAACTCCCCATTTCTGCCTGCCCCCGGCAGCCGCCATCTACTCTCTGTCTCCATGAATCTGACTATTCTAGGTATCTTATGTAATGGAATCATATAATACTTGTCTTTTTGTGTCTGGTTTATTTCACTTAGCACAATGTCTTCAAAGTTCATGAATGTTGTGGTACGTGTCAGAATTTCCTTCCATTTTAAAGTTGAGTAATATTCCATTATATGTGAATATACCACATTTTGTTTATCCACTCATCAATCAATGGATACTTGGACTATTGCCACCTTTTAGCTATTGTGAATAGTGCTGCTATGAATATGGGTGTACAAGTATCTGTTCAAGTCCTTTCTTTCAGTTCTTTTAGACATACACCCAGAAGTAGAATTGCTGGATCATATGGTTAATTCTGTGTTTAGTTTTTGAGGAACCACTACACCATTTCCCACAGTCTAATCATTTTTTACTGGCTGTATAATATTCCATTTGTCTCTATACCCTAATTTCTTAAAACATTCCAGAATGTTTCCTAAAGATTCTCAATTTTTCTTTTTTTTTTTTTCCATTGGATGGGAATTAGTTTTGGGTTAGACAATGCTCCAGGTTTTTGCCCCAGTTTAAAAAAACTCATATGCATATATCATTACTTTTGATAGCTAATAATCAAGTTGATTTTTGGTTAGTATCACCTTACAACTACTTCCCCGTATCTAGGAAGTGCCCTATCCATGGGAGTAGGTCCTCTCTAGCTAGCCCTCTGCTTTCTGATTGGGTCGTCACTAGCACATATTCAAACTTGAGTCAAATAAAGTGAAATAAAAATAAAAATTCATTCCCTCCGTTGTTCTAGCCATATTTTGAGAACATAATAACCACACAGAGCTGGTGCTACTGAATTGGGTGGCACAGACATAGAACATTTCCATGATCCCAGAAGTTCTATGGTGAGTGCTGCTCCAGACTCTGTTTTTGACTCTGACCTTTTGGCTGTGGCTGAATTAGAGCTTATGAGTTATTTCCAGAAATGATTTAGTCCTAGGGACAGGCCAATGATAACCACATTCAGAAGAGAATGTCATAAACTCTAAAATATGAGTTTCATAATTTATAATTGGGCATATCTCTTCCAGGGACAGGAATACTTCTGTGTGCTATTTCCCATATAATTCTTCCTCAAAATATGAATTAGTGATCTTCAGGTTTTTTTTGGTGATTGTCACCTAATCCAAGCTGGGTCCCTCAAATTCCTTCTCCTTCCCTTAGGAATTTGGAGTTTTCAGTCAAGTCTTCTAGGTATCTAGGATTATAAAACCAGGAGCACAAGTCATATCTCACTAGCAAAACAGAGTTGGATAAAGCAACAGAAAGAAAACTAAAACAGGTAAGCAGGCTGCCTTTTAGGCTTTCTATATTCTGGTTCCTTAGGCCATTGGCATTCCTGACTTTGGAATCAGGACAAAAACTACCCACATCCTAATAATGAATTCTTCTATGCTCAAGCTAGCTTGAATGGGTTGGTATATTGGGAATTGGAATCCTAACTAATACACACACATACATATACTATAGATATGGGTATTGACATTTTCACATTGTGGTATGTGTGGTGGTTCATAAACTTTGTACTTAGTCGTTGCACTGGGCCTCCAGACTTCCTGTAGCCCCTCTGATCTTTCTCTACTTTCCCTCTTGCTTTACTTCCTTCTCATCTTGAGTGCTTAGGCTGTCCTTTTTTTTCTCCTTCCCTCTCTTTTCCTTCCCTTGATCAAAGTATGCCGACTGCTATCTTTCTGGGTGTGGAAGCTTTATAAAATCAAGTCATGTAACATATTAACAACTGATTTTATTTTTTAGCTTGTATTGCATTTCACTCTCTCAGGCCTAAGTAATTCGGTCAACATTCATTAATGAATGACTGAATAAATAATCCCTGACAGGCCAAAGCAGTGAATGTTGAGCTTTAGAATCTGGCATGGATTGTACTAAGTGGGGTACTTATGCAAGTCATGGCATGCTCCTTTAGATGGACTGACTGGGGGAGACCTCTTGCAGGAGGAAGATAGGATGAAGGGTCTGCTATGAAAAGAACACAAGCATCAGCATCCCAGAGGGAAGGGGCACGTCAAGTGTTCTAGGTGGGAAAATGCTTTGTGTTGCCAAGGAACAGAAAGGAGGCCAGTGTGACCAGAATGAAGAGAGTAAAGCAGAGTAGCATGGATTGTGGTAGGCAGGGCCTTCACGCCCTAGAAAGAGATTATTGACAATATCTGAAGAGCAATGAGAAAATCCTAAAGGGATGTAAGTCAGACCTCATCTGACTTGTGTCTTAACAAACAAACCAAAAAAGTCCCTCTGGCTCGTCTGGCGAATGAATCCTAGGAAGACAAGCAGGAGAACCTAGAAGGCTACAGCAATTGTTGACCAGAGATCAAAACGTCTAGGCCTATGAGGATTGGAGGTCGGTGGTGATGGAGAACTTTTGTGACCACATTTTGAGATTCTGAAGGTGGAAATATAAGCTCTTACTGATGAAGTTATCCTTTTTACCTTTTAAGTAGTCAGCCCCTATATTAAAGTTGTTTTAATGAAATAGACCTGGACCCTAAGAAGTCAAGAAAGGGCCTGCCTTTCTCAGTTTCATAGGCTTTGGGCTCAGATCTTTTACCAAAGTACCTTGGGTCCAACAGTCCCCCAGCATAAAATTCTGCCATTTTCCTCCCTTCTCGTTGAATGAACTTGGGAGGTGACCGCTGGAAAAAAAAAAAGGCTTTCAGCAAGAGGACAGCGGCGTTTGGGGTTCAATGGTACATCCTAACTTTTAATTTCAATTAATGTTTGCTTTTAATTTGGTATTGGTTATTTTACATTTGCACCAAGTGGGAGAAGGCATTTTGCTAGCAGCATCTCTTTCTTCATCTTCCAATACTGTATTCACCGTCTTAACTCCAAACGGCCTAGAGCAAAATTCCTTTAGAATAATTCATCTTCCACTAAACCTGAGTTCCTTTTCACCTATCCAAATCTTGTGCGCCTGGGACCCGCTTCCCGCGGCGCAGACAAATGCACTCATTGTCTGTGCACCAGTCCCCCTGGATTTTATACAGCGTGCATTTCCTGCTCTGAGCTGCTTGCTGCGTGCGTGCTTCCCTCGTCCCCCTGCCCCCACCCGGATCCGAAGCTTTTGTTTCTCATTTCCTCCCGACGCTATTAAAATGCATGGACACATCGTTTCTAAATAAATGGACGGCTAGGAACTTTTCTTTTGGCTTGTTAACCTTTAGGCCGCTGTCCAGTGAAGTTCTGAAAAACAACTGAACCCAACAGCTCACGTAAAAGGACCAATCTACTTGGAAACAACGGAAACGTGGACATTATTTCCCAAACTTGTCGCGACAGGGGACACTTGTGCACGCCTCGGAGTAACGCTTTGCAGGGGCCTCCAAGGGCGGGCCGAGGCGCTCCACGCGGCCGCAGCGCTCGCTCCCGTGTCTGCAGGGCGCGGGGAGGGGGCGAGGCGCGGGCGGCCCCGGGCCGAGCGGAGCGGGACCTCCGGGCGGCGACGCTCTGGCCCGCGCTCGCTCGATGGTTTCCGCGCGGCCGCTAGGGCCCGCGCGGTCCAGTCACCAGGGGGCGCGCTGGCCGGCGCCGCGGATCTCCGAGGTGCGCGGCCCGACTCGCGTCCGCCATATTGGATGCCGCAGCCGCTGCTGCCAGCGCTTCCTCCTCCGTCTTCGCTGTGCGGTGCTGGTTCCTGCGGCCCGAGCGGCGGGGAGGTGAAACAGGAGTCTGACGAAGGAAGAAGAAGGAGGGGGTGGAGAGTGTAGGGGACGGGGCTGGAGGGCGGAGGACCGAGACCGAGCGGGGCGGAGAAGAGAAGGCGCCGCGGTCCAGCCCCTCCCCCGCCCGCTGCCGACCCGCCCCGGCAGCGCCTGTGTTCCCCAGACCGGCGCTCCGCCCGCCCTAGCGGCCATGCCGGGGCCTCGCTGCCCCTGAGGGAGTCCTTCCCTGCCAGTGCTTGCCCTTCCACTCCCGTCCCGGGGTCGCAGCGGCCGGGTCTCCCGCCGGTGCCCCTCCTCGCGGCCGCGCCGCCGCCCCCGTCTCGCTCTCCCCACCCAGTGCAGTGGCCGCCGCCTCTTCCGCCGCCGGGCTCGGGGCCTCCGCACCGACAACATGGAGGCTGTGAAAACCTTCAATAGCGAGGTTGGTATTGCAGTCTAGCCTCCCCTCCTGCCCACACCTCCCACCGGGACTCGGCCCGCGGGAGCAGGGTGGGTGCGGGCCTGCAGGGTTTCCCAGGGTGGGGCGAGTGGTGGCCTAGCTGTGTCGGGGGGGGAGGGGGAGGGGTGTTTCTCTGCCCCGCGCCCCTCCCCCGAGTCCGAGGGGAGGGCTGGGGGAGGGCCGCCCCGGGGCGGAGGGAGGTTCCGGTGTCTCCAGCGCCCTACTGAGTGGCTGAGGGTTTGGAGGGAAGGGCCCTTAGGGCCCTCCCCCGGAGGCTCCTGGCAGGTCTCTCGGGGTCAGTTCCGCGGAGGCCTGGCCCGCCCACGTCTTTCCTGGGCCTGCGGGATTTTAAGTGCTCGCCGGACATCACTGCCCCGACCGCCTCTTGGTCCTTAATGAGGCAGGGACCGGTGGGGGCAGTACAGGAAGGGAACCTGCAGGGGTGATGATCTGTGGTCACGTTGTACGTACTGTTTATACTTGAGACACTGTTGGCTAGGTAACGTGCCAACTAGGGACTTAGGCTAAGAGAATGGCTGATCCGGAGGCAAGGTTTTCTGCGATTTATCATACCTTACTTCCCCCTTCTCTCGTCATCAGGACATAAAGACGAATGGTAGGGAGAGAGGTCTATGCTTCGAGAGGGGAAGATGCTGGGGAAGCATTTCCCACGGGCTCATTCACACGTAAAATCTCACACTAGAAAAGAAGCAGGTGTCCACTTTTCACTATCGAATTGAATTTACTAGTCTGAAAGGAGATAGGTTTCGATAAAGAATGTTAATTTTTTTAAAACTCCGGTTTAAGTAGACCCTAGTGCAAACATTAAACATAACAAGTACCTATCTGTACAACCAGAATTAATCTTATCTGTATGCCTTGGAAGAAAATTTTTAATGTGATATTAACTAAAGTTGCATAAATTTTATGAACTTGGTGTGAAGTGCTAATAGTCTATTCGATAGTATGGTTAACAAAATCTTAAATACTCACCTCTTAAAATACCAGACATATTGCTGTGATAATCCCAGCAGGACAATACTTTCAAAAGCTGTTTCACAATTTTGTTTCTTTTATTTTTTCTTTCTCTTCTTTTAAGAATTAGCATTTGGGAAGCTTAGCAAAGGGCTAAAAGTTAGATAACATTCATTTGAGTTGGACTCTCCATATTAGAGTACATAGTAGTGACACAGTTATATGAAAGCTAACACTTTTTGTAAAGGATTTTCTTTTTTGGTATTGGATTTTCTTTCTCTTTTTTAACCACTTCTTGAAACATAGTGCAGTAGATTTGAGAATCTTTTTTTCATTTAGGAACTTACAGTTGATAATTAGAAAATTTCGTTCTCCCAGCAATACTTTATAGCACTTAAATTCTAGGAGAAAACGTATTTAACGGTAGTATATGTTCCAACTTACTGTTAATAATTGCACAACTGTGCAGGAAAGAAAACAGCTGTATGTAACCTTTCTGTGTGCTACATATAGTGGTACACTACAGAATGTTAAACTTTTTAAAAACGCTATATAAAAAAAAAATCCTTTCTTTCCATTGCAGTTATTTGATTTTATCCTGCCCCCCCCCATTTTTTTAAAGTTTTTTTTTTTTTTTTAGTAATGTCTGCACCCACGGTGGGCCTGGAACTCATGACCTGGAGATCAAGAGTTGCACGCTCTTCCCACTGAGCCAGCCAGGTGCTCCTACCCCACACCTTTTTGATTGTCTCTCCTGTTTGTCTAGGGGCTTCCTAATAGGTATCCTCCCTCACTCCCAGCACCTCTTCCTCCCACGAAATTCTGAATAGGATCTCTCATGTGGTGGATAGAAAAAAGGTGTTACTACACATGGTTGTCATAGTAGAGCACGGTGGAATAAAATGATAAATTGGTTTTCGTTTTAGTATTTCCCTTAAGGATAGGGAGCCTAACATTTACATGGCTAGCTAGATCTTTCACCTTTTTTTCTCATCTAACCTTTACAGGATTTGAGATTGGCAGTAGTAGTCCCATTTTAGTGTATGTAGCACTCTTTCTCCCTGTGGATTTCAAAGAATTTAGAAAATCTTTTAATTCCTTTATTTACTAACATGATCAAACTTCACCTTGTTTGATTGTGGAGTTAGCTTAATAACAGTAACAATATAGTCACAGAGTTGGGGAAAGAAATTATATTCAAAGAAGATTCAGAAGAATATCCTTTTTATTTTAAACACAAAATACATATTTTTTTTCTGACTTTGAATGTAGTTTCTTTGATGCTTGCTGATGTAAAAACGTTCTTGCAAGTAAGCATATAGTAGGGACTAATTCGGTAATGAATATTTTCCACTAAATCACATATTGCAAAGTGCAAAAATAAAGAAATTTTGAGTTAGAGTGAATTTGGCTTTTGAAGGCCTATTTAAAATATGAAATGCTTGCTAATTCTCATGTTTTTTAAAGACTATCCCCTCCCCCCCCAGCATTGGCTTGAAAATAAGAACATGCCAGAGATATTGAAGTTAAGAATATAGGTTTTTTTTTTTTAAGATTTTATTTTTAAGTTATCTTTATACCCAACATGGGCCTCAAACTCAAAACCCTGAGATTGGGAGTTGCATGCTCTGCCAACTGAGCCAGCCACGCACCCCAAGTTAAGAATATAGATTTTTAATTTGCAAAGCACAGATGAGTTACAGTCTGAAAATCCATGACCTCATGTAGGGTATTTATGAGTCATGGTCAACATATGCAACTGCCCCCACTCCCAAGTATCATAATATCTCAAATGGGTCTGTGGCCTCTCCTTCCCTGTGTTCAGAGTCACTGTCAGAAGATCCTTTACGAGGTAAATTCCTCTTAGCATAGGGTCAATGAGATTGAGGCCCGAGAATTGATATTTAATTGCCCACTGTGCTAGTTTTGTGCGAAAGCCATAATTTACAGTTAAGCATTATCATTGTGATGAGTTAATCCCATGAATAGTAATGTCAGTTCTGAAATGATGAAAGAAAGTTTGTTCAGATTGGTATATAAGACTCCCTAAGAGTCTATGCTTGACCTGAGCAGTTAACTCTAAAAGAATTATTACCATTACAAGTGCCATAGTTGTAGCTGCTCTAAGATTGTGGCATAGCCTTGTTATGAAGGTTTAGAGTTCTCACTTCAGTGAAAAGGGTCACATATTGGGCTGCTTAAATTCCGTTTTTAGGACCACAGTTGATTACTCGAAGGCAGCAGTTTTATGTGAGCTGCATATCTGTACTTTGTCCTTAAGATTGCCACTGTATGGTGGTCATTATGGTAAGGTTATTGTTTTTGTTTTTGGAAAGATGGAAAAGAATAGCAATGCGTGACTCTTTCCTTAGAAAATTATAACTTAATTGGAGAGGGCACTTGCATAATATAGGAACTCTTAATACATGGCAAATGGAAGAATCTGTCATGCATTGGTTATGCTTAGGCAAAGTAACTGGAGGAGATGACTTTTACTTGTATATTGGATTCTTTTAATTTTTAAGGACTTAAAAAAATTGTCAGTACCGTTACTATACTTCAAGTGAACACTTTCAGATAATCAGATATTAGTGATCAGGTTTTTTCCCCCCTAAGTTCTTTGTATAGCTTGTTGCATTACTATGGTTGTTTTTTCCATCATGATCCATTTCTCTTGCTGCTCAGAAAAGGCCGAGTGGTTTAGCTAAAGGACCAGACATGTAGGTGTGAGATGTGTCAGGAAAATTATCACAATTTAAATTTTAGATTTACCTTGGTTCATAAATTCATGATTCTAGTACCTTTTATCATCTTTAAGATGCCTAAATTCTTCGTGTTTTTGTCCTTAGGACTCCTCATTTAGATAGCTTACTCTTTAAACTGTTCCAGGATGCAGACTTTCCAGAGTCCCCTTAACATCCAGGACATTTTCCTCTTCTATGCCATGTCTTTCATATCAAAAGTGAAATCCCATCTCTGCTTTACTCTATTTCTACTTTTGTTTCCAGAGTGTACATTTGCCTAACTACAGGACTTTATATACTTTTCCCAGCAGTATCTAGTAGTAGACATGGGATGGTGAACAGTGGAAAAGGTAGAGGGAATAATAAAAGCCTGTGAAATCTGTTTTTTCTTTGTATGTTTTCCTTTTGTCTGTGGTTCAAGAAAGGGATTTGATGTGAAGCAGCTGTAAAACTTGGCATTTTTTTGTTTCATTTTCACCTATCAGGGAATGTCTCCTTTTCCTTTCCTTAGTCTTCCCTATTTTAACTTTCCAGTGGGTGTCTTGGCTAATTGGATCAGTCCTTTTTTGTTTCTACCTTGTGAAACTCCCTTAAAGATACAGCATACTTAGTGTTGTAAAGGAAGGAACCTTTCACTAATCCCTCCGTGCCCCAGCGGTTTAGATGAGAATTTCTCAACCTCAGTACTATTGATATTTTGTTGTGGATAATTGTTTGCTGTGAGGAGCTGTCCTGTGCATTATATGATGTTTAGCAGTAATCCTGGCCTCTACCCACAAGGTGCCACTATGGTGACAACCTGAAATGTCTCCAGACATTATCAGATGTCCCTTGGGGAACAAAATAGACCTTGGTTGAGAATCACTGATTTAGTTCCCATTACACAGTCTTAAAAAAAATTGTACTTTCCCTTCTAGTGATTACTGGAAATAATATAGTGATAAGTCTTTCCCGCCAGACTATAAGGTTCATGAGGATAGTGACCAATTGCTTCATATTCTCAGTACATAGCTCAGTGCCTTAATACATACTGTGTGTCAAAGATTTCTTGAATGAATGAATGAATAATGTACTTGGGATTGAATAACTTGGACCAAGGTAGTTAACATTTCTGGACATTTGGTTTCCTCTGTGTAAAGTAAATGATTGATTTGAGTTTATATTTAGGTTCCCTGTTAGAAGATTCTTTGATTAAATATAAAATTAATTTTGGGGAGGACTTAGTACATATAAGGATTTTTTTTGAAGGTCATTTTATGGCACTGTGGGAGCCTAGGAGATCAGGTGGAAGATTTTAAATCAAAACTCTGATCTTTTTGTAATTTTCACTTATTAAGGAGGGAGCGTTGGGAGGGAGCTATTGGATTTGAAGGTTCCAGTTTATTGAATCCATCCTAAGCTTTGTTTTGTAATTACGCTATTTTCAAACTTTTTTTTTTTTTTTTTTACTGTTTTTCAATTTAAAACAACATATGGTAAAAGTTGTGGGGTTTTTTTCCTTATATTATTTTAAAAATTTAGAAAACAAGGATAATTGAGATCGATGATAATGATTTTTTGAGACTGCTTTGAGAGTGTTACAGTCTTAATCATTCAAGATAAATATAAAAAATTTTTGGCAAGACAAATAGCTCTATCATTTTATTCTAGGCTAGCACTGAGTTTGTTACAGTAATTTTGATTGACATTTAGGGGACATCTGTATTCCGCAGTTTCCTAAATAGTCATATTTTATGATCACTTGCTTTTTTTTTAGAAGTATAGTTGGCTTAGAATAAGTGATGATATTACTACTTGTGCATGGAATTTCAGATATCTCTTTCTAGGGCCAGTTTTCCTGTTATTGGACAACTTCTAACTCAAAATGGTATGAGAGAATGTAATCAACCTTGACCTTGAACACTGGCTGAGCTCCTGAACTCGAGCTCATTTTATCTGGTTTTGTTTTCTCAACATCTTTCTCTGCTCCTCTCTCTCAGGATTGTGCCTCTACTCCTGCTTGTACAGACTGCTTTTCCAGCAGCATGGACACAAGAAGCATAGTAAGATGATTATAATGCACATAAGGCAGGCCCTTTGGAAAATACTAGGTTTAAATTGGTAGTGAAATGATGTCTTGATTATATGGGTAGTAATTGGGAAGCAGAATAAAGTTTGTCACTTCAAATGAATTAGTAATCTTAAAGAGAACATGTAGGGAATAGTTGAATTTCTTCACAAATAATAGGTTAACTGAAAAAAAAAAGTTATTGTGCTTAATAGTGAACATAAATCATATATACTCTTGTTGCATTTACTTGCATTCTGCTCCACATAATTTTACTGTATTGTAAAAGGAATATAATATTACCTATTTAACGTGAATAAATTGCAAGCTTATTAATTTGATGATTGGAAATAAAATACATCTTATATTTTGAGGAAGTTCTTCAAACTATAAGATGACAGATCATTGACAGATATGCTGTAGGGATGGAGAAACAAAAAAAGACTAAATTGAATTTTTGGTTTTCTAATTATAGAGGAGCAGATTTTGGTAGTGCTACTATTATGAGAAATAAATGCTGATGAGGAATGTTTCTGTAGCCTGTAATTTCTTATCTGAGTTAATGCTATCTCAAGTTTGATGGTAAACGATGCATTTGTGCTTTGATTTTAATTTTATGCATTTATTTGGTCTTCTCATTCTGCTTTACAAGCATTTCTGATACACCATATTTGAAACTCAGGGAAGGATACTGTAAATGAATTCTGGTATCTGCTGTAGGTCAGGAAGTATCTTAGTAACTTTGACATCACTACAGTTAGAATGGGGAATATAGCATATTAATGTTTTTTAAAGATAGTTACGGCTATTAAGTTTTGTATTCCAAATTTGCTTTTAAAATCCTTCTGCAGCTTATTATAATTTATATAGGTTGATTTGAAAGATCTAGCATTTCATTCTTTCATTCATTTAACCAGTGCTGAAGTGCTTACTGTGTACCAGGCATTTTTCTTTCTGCTGGTATACATTGGTAAACAAGACAGACAGGAAGCATACCCTCTTGGAGCTAATGTTCTTGTAATCTTTTTTTTTTTTCTTTCACTTCATCAGCCTTGTGTGCAGTGAGTGACCCTGCTGTGGAGCTAGTGAGGCTGTGCAGGCATCGCTGACTGGGAGTTTTGCTGGGGTTGGGCTGATTGCAGCCCTTCTCTGCAGGCGCAGTTCTGCTTGCTCTTCTCTCACCATTTTGCCTTAGAGTCTAGAAAGCTCGTCTGCTATTCAAAATAGAGATTGAGCAAGTAGACTTACTTAAACATGTTTTCAACAATGGCAAAATAAGATGAGCTACACTTTTATTTTACACCAATTTTTTTGTCATGTATTTTAAAAAAATATCTGTTTTGGAATATAACTGTTGCTAAAAGATAACAGCTTTAAGAATGTTTCTTTTTGTCAATGAGATATTAATTATCTCCAGGTGCAAATGATTTTTTTAAAAAAGCTTAAGTGGTGACCAAACCTTCATGAATTTGAAAGAATATAACTATTTTTAAAATGAACTTTTGATTAAGTACATGATAAAATGTGGTCTCTTTCTTATAAACACTTTTTAGATTTGATTGGACTCCTCAGGGCTAGTTTGAGTAGCTTGTGAGTAAAAGATGAAACACTTTGGATCATGTTTCTTATATCTTAGTGTGTAGAACTTGGGGAATGGTTTAAAGATCTTTTTATACTGGTGACAGCACCTAAAAGGTTTACTGGTATACCTGAAACTGATACAGTGTTCACTCAGTTATATTTTAATTAAAAAAAAATGTTGACCAAGCCCTAGTTAATGGCTTTTTAAAATTTAGTAAGATTCTTACACTATAAAATTTTATGGTAAAAAAAAATAGGGGTATTTGAATTTATTAAAATATTTGAAGTATATGGGTAAAAAGAATGTTGAATAAGTTAAAATTTTTATAAACCAAAACATATAGTGGATGTCTACTTTCTGTGTAGTAGCTTTCTGTGATGAAAAATGTCTGGCTTAGGTATTTCTGAAATACTTTTTGTTTACCAAACACTGTTAAAAGTGAGCCACTTTATAATACAGTGTTTTGTATTCTGACCCTTTTTTCCCCAACCATCATGTTTCAGTGGAATTTTAGGGTAAGCTTGTGAGAAAAGTAGGGTAGGTGCTACCCTCCTTTTACCAACTAGAAAACGGGCCACCGCTGTGGTTTTACCAATAAACTGCTACTTGTAAGTGTTAGAGCTGAGAAGGACCCAGGCCTCAACCTCTGGTTGTTTTTCTTACCCTTCTGTGTAAAGGAGAACTATCACTCAGTTTTCCACAAGTCCTTTTTACTGGCATAGTGTCTAATTATAAATTAGCTTTATTTTTTCACACTTTTGAACTTTAAAACTTCAGATTTATAGAGAAGTTACAAGAATGATAATTTTATGTACACCTCATCCTGATTTCTCTGCCTGATTATGTTAACCATTTTTGCTTTTTTGTTCACTCCCCACATAAACATGAACACATGAAAACTTTTTTTATGGCATTGTGATGGGAAATGCAGTTCATGATGCCTTTTACTTTTGCATTTAAATGACTATTTTCTAGAGTGATATTCTTTTACAGAGCCATAGTCCAGTGATCAAAATCAGGAAATTAACGTTGGTATAGTGCAATTGTCTGCAGATCTTATTCAGATTTCATTAATTATATCATTAATGTCCTTAATAGGAAGAGTAAATCCTATACCACATCTTGGCATTCATTCATCTTGTCTCTTTAGTATCCTTTAATCTGAAATAGTTGGTTATAACTCTTTCTTTACTTTTTATGACCTTTGATGATATTTAGTGATAATAGGCCAGTTGTTTTTGCAAGTCTTTCAATATGGATTTGTCTGCTGTTGCTTCATGATTAGATTCAGGGCATGCGTTTTTGGCAGGAATACTCCAGAAAGTGGTAACTGTGTTCTAAGGAAGCACATGATGTCTATTTATCCTGCTAATAGGGATGTTAACTTTTTTTTTGCAAGGTTTCTCCATTGTAAAGTTACTGTTTTTTCCCTTTGTAACAAGTATCATTTGGGGAGGTATTTTGAAACTAAGCACATACCTTGTTGCTTGTCAGACTTTCACCCATTTAAGCCATGCATTTAGTTCTTGCCTGAATCAGTACTAGGATGATTGCCAAAAGGTGCTGTTCTTTGTCTGTCATTTCTTTATTATTGGCATTCTATAAGAGTTTTTCCTTCTCCCCATTTATGTATGTATGTATGCATATCAGTATGAACTCATGGATTCTTTTTTATTCATTGGGGGTTTTTGATGTAGATTGTCTCAGTTTTGACCAGTCAGAGCTACTTCAGGCTCTCTCTTGTGTCCCTTTGATGTGTGCTCCTTATCTTCTGAGTATTTAGCTTCTTATGTAGTAAGATATTCCCACCCTAGCCTTGCAGTCAGTCATTTCTCCAAGGACCTCTGATCTGATTTCTTCTTGTGGATATTTATTAATGGATTGAACTAGAATATATACATATATGTATGTATTTATGTGTATATGTGTGTATACACACATTTTTGATTTTTAACTGTCTGCCTATCTAAAAAGCCATGGGTTCATTCTAGCCTTTCCTCTTTCCAATTCTGTATGTATTTCCTTTCTCCGATAGTGAGAAAACTAGTTTCTGTTATCCACAGTGTATTTACATATTATTCGTTCAAACCTGAAACACACAGAAAGTAGTTTCAGAATTGGTAAACCATATGTCTCTGAAATCAAACCGATTAACTAGAATTTAATATTTGTTTATAGCTCATTTTTTGTTTAACCTGACGGTATATAGTCAAAATGCTGTGTTCGAACATGGCTTGGTTAGTTTTTTACCCTTAACATAGTTCTGCTATTTGTTTGAAATATAATTAGATTCATTTTTTTTTCTGTTTGTATTCCATTTTATTTTTTTCTTCATTTTTGTTATTTCTTTAGTATGGAAAGCATTAACCATAAATTAACTTCAGTCTTCCCTTTTTATTAGCTTCAGCATTCATAACCACGTATGCTATAGTTAAATTTTTTTTCTTAACATTGGTCAAATCAAATAACAAGCCAAAATTCAGAAATTTAGTTATGGAGAAGGTCTTAGGTGAAAAATCTGTTTCTAATAGTGCAGATTCAATTCATAGGTGAAAGGAAGTGTGCAAAACTTTTATTCTCTCGTGAATGGAATCTCCATTCATGGGGGCAATAATCTGTTTCTGTAGAGGACCAGATAGTAAGTATTTTAGGTTTTTGTTAGCCACTGAAGGTCTCTTTCACATATTCTTGTTGGTCTTTCACAGTTCTTTTAAAATACAAAAAATGTTCTTGGCTTGAGAGCCTACGAAAATAGGCCATGGGCCATTTTTTGCTGGATCCTGCTGCAAACTTTGAAACCTGAGAACTTGATTAATAACATGCTATTTAATAAGTCAAAATTATAATTGAGCAAGAAAACATATTCCTTACAGCCTTTATAATCTTACTTGAACGTCAAAAACAATTTAAAAAGCTGCCTTAGTGAAAATAATTTATTTAAAATTTTGAGCACTTAACCACCAAGTACAGACACTATTCTAGGCTCTAGAGATTTAACGGTGTACAAAACAGATTCCAAAAGAAAACACAACCCCGTCCACAAACAACCTCTGCCCTCCTGGAGTTTACATTCAGTTTTTGTGTATAGATGTGTGCTGGAAATTCCTATTTCTTGTTTTTCCTCAGTGACATTTTTATCTGTTAAAAATTGTTTTCATATTACTTGCAAAGCAAACATTTTCCTGAAAACTTGATAAAAAAATGCAGCAAAGGGGCAAATTTTAGAAGTTTGACTCGTTGCTTCCCATCCCTTTTTTGTGACGTGTGATTTTTATTTGAAAATGATTCTTAATCGTGATGCTTTCAGTGTATAGCTACACTAACTCACTAGAAGATGGCAAGTTAGACTTCATTAATCGGGACAGAGAACCTAGACTTAATTTAGTGGTAAATACATGTATGTTACAGAATCT